CTAACCCTAGCCGAAAAGAAGTCCTAACGTGAGGACTGTTAGTTTTCTTTTACGCACCCTTTACTACTCCTTTATCTGAAGAACGTCAGCATACTTTTTGATCGTTTCGATTGTAAGTAGCGTTGATATCTGGCTCCAAAATTGTGAATTTCGGTGAAATTGTCAATGTAACAGGACAACACGCTTTTGAAAACATGTCATATCTCAATAATAAATGGTCGCATCTTTTAATTTTGGTTATGCTGGCATAGAGAACATTCATTCAGAGTGTGATGAGAGCACCGGATTTGATCTCCACCTATTACCGAATATATAGACTCAATAAAGTAAATGTAAAATTTATTCTGTGAAAATCGACATGGTCGTTAAAACACACCCACGGGGCATTAGGGGAATCCGAGAACAATAGGTTATATATGGTTAGCAAGTCCTTGATTCAGTTTATCAGACCATCATATTCCAAATCGTGATAATAATTGTGATTGAATTATAATGAGCATTATCTGAAAATTTCTGAAAATTCACAATTTTTCTTGTGAAAAACGACCAAGATGTAATTCAAACATGGGCAGCATTCTTGTGTAAAGATGGACACTATTCAAGAAAACATTATATCCACAATCTATTTTAACGAAAAGATTTTACGAAATAACCAACACGACCCCATCTATGCGCGATTATGGTGTGAAACTGTGACAATCGACATGCGTGAAAATCGACATGGTTATACCATTGAACTCAAATCAGTAAATTAGTCATTTGTATAAATCAAAGATGGATTAATTTGATTTTATATGATTACCAATACTCTGATAACACATTTATAACAGTTTTTCGGCAATTTACGCATAACGATCAATTGATAGACATTGGAAAGATAACAGCTAAACAGTTTTCTCTTTGTTCAGCGTACCTTTTCCATTTTATACGTCTTTACAAAAATACGTGTTTCGTTCAGTGCATTCCCGGGGATTGCTGACTGCAATCATAAAGTCTATTAGCGTTTGGAATCAGTTTCCCTTTCAATGAATGCATCATTCTCAATGGTGAACAGCATAAACAGGCATCTCTAATTTGTAATATGAAAGATTTTATAGCCTTTCAACGATGTTTATTTGCTTATTATGTTTTAATTACGATCTCGGATCTACTACTCGATACATTATTACGATCTGATGTACAATATTCAGTATCCCTTCGTGAAACGTAATTCTTTGCAAAACATACAAAAAGAAAAACAAAAAGTAAGCAATGCTCGAGAATAAAAAATCAAAAAATCAAGACATGCGGTGCATAAAATTACGCTCCTCTTTGAAAAATATCGCCAATTGAACTAGCATAGAAACATAAAGCACGAGATACGCATGTGACGATAGAGGCAACAAAAGCAAGATGATTTTTCCCCTCTTCGAAAAATAAAACCGGGGGTAGATCACTAAAAATATATAGACTTCAATAGTTTCAACGAAAAACAAAACATCAGAAGAAACAAGTTTGATAGCGAAAGTTATGCGAAATCAGAAATCCGAAAAAGAATCGAGTCTGACACGAAAGAAATTTGTTTCTCTAAAGCGGAAATTTTAGCGACTAAAACAAAAATCTCAGAATAAACCAAAGCATAGTAATAAAAACACTTCCAGTTGCCATGGAAAAGGGTTCTTGTGATAGGAACTTGGAGAGGGAGAGGGGGGGGGGTCATCGGCGAAGCGCTCCGCAGATAATGGTGTCAAGAGAAACGTCTCTACACCAGTGCAGATGATTTCTATGATTGAACTATACGTCATCCTTAATGGACTGGACTCGACATCAATATCATGTTTCAATTGATAACGTAGACTCGAGTAGAATAAGGACCGGCTTCTTGATTTGGAATATGTTAAAGGGACATTTCAGATCATATCTCGATAGATGATGTTTGTACTCCAATATGACGTAAATGGTTGTCCTGTTGTGATACATGCAGGAAAAACGTCACTACGTCAACCTGCAACTGGTTAAGCATGCATTAAAAGCTAAACCCAAAGGAAAAATTACTCAAATTGTAAAAACAAGTCAAAGAACCATACCAGGTATGTGAGATAAAAAAGAAAACATATGCCAAGTGTGTCAAAAAATTATTTTGACGACATGGCATCTGTCATCCCATTGTCTTTCAATCTAAAAATGTAAATCTTGGTTTCATGAATCAGTGCGATGTTTTGGTAAAGTTGGTGTGAAAAGAATGTAGAAAAGATTTGTTCAGTGCATATAAACTTTGCGGACGTAATACGTACATGTACATATACTTAGTTTATTCTCTTTGACGATATTTTAGAATAAAATGTGAAACACGACAGGGTTTTGACGGAAAATTTTACATAAACGTGGTCATATTTGGATACAAATGCACACTGGTTGTTTCTCAGTTCAGCTTGTTATATCCTACATATCAAAAATGTCGATTCGTGAAGTTAGCGGTCCCTAAAGTGAACTTTGTAACTCATTGCCATTTGTTTCTAATTGTCTTGTGAAAATCGACATGCGGATGAATAGTGAACTAGCCTAATGATCAATTCTTCACAAATAAAACTGTTATCATTTTCTTATCGTCTTAAGCATCATTTTTCATGATCGCATCAATTCATGTTTCAAAAGAGTAGACTCTTTCAATTTTATTCAAATGAAAAACAAAGGGGAAGTTAAAAATTGAGAAAAACTATAGATTTTATTGGTTCATGTTGACAAAGTGATGCACATCAAAAAGAAAAAGCTTGCAGTCCAAATCCATTTGCGATTTTAAACGACAGTTAAGTACCATGAGGAACGTTCTTGGTTTTTTGAAAATGATGCATTCTAATTTGAATAGCTTGACACATTAATCAGGGGGTCAAGGTGTGAAAATCGACATGTTTGAGACGGACCCTAATTTCAATTTGAAAATTCGCCTATTTTTCCTTGGAGTTTACTTTAATGCCTTGGGTAACGAATGTACAAATGTATGAAGATATATACTATATATATATTTGAAAAAAACATTTTAGGATTTTTTCACTTTTTAACAAAATTAATTTTACACTTAAGCGGTTTTAAATGAATAGCACACAGCTTGGCATATGAAATATCCTACAAATGAAACAAAGCAAGACAAACCGGTTTCTAATACAAGGATTTATATTGGCTGTTGTACATGTATTCTTTGAACACAATCACTCTTTGGATAACGTTTTCAAAATCATTATAAACGGATTACTTTATCTCAAAGACAATTTCAATAAACTGGATTTTACAGAACTCCCCTTATTTCTTAAAAATGGACTGATCCAGTTGATTCGCCTGGAGCCGCCATATTGTTTTTATACGGGATGCTAATCGGAACCCTTTAAGATAACAATTTTCATGCAATTTTCATTCTCTAAAAATTACAAGAAACTACCTGAAATACATGTAAATAATGAATAGTACTATAACGTCATTTCGAAGGGCCTTTGGCCCTCGGTCCAATATTTCATAGACTGTTATGGGGGATTTGCGAAGCAGGGTGACACACATTAGCAGAAAACACGATCGCCACTTAAATTATAATGTTTATTCTGTCCGTTTCAACCCTTTTTACATGTTTACACCATTGTCTAATGAAGACCAAACAAAGCCCCGGATGTCGTGCCGTTTCTCGTTTCGTTTGGTACACAACTAAGCCCCGGGTATTAACAAAGCCCCGGATGTAGTGTCGTTTCTCGTTTCGTTTGGTACACAACAAAGCCCTGGGTATTAAATAAGCCCTTGGTTGTATCAAGAAGTCCTCCCAAGAAAATGTTCAATACTGCATAACAAACGCTGGATAAAGATTTTACAAATGCATTCAAAATGTCAACTTATCAAAGCACGAAGACTATGGACTTTAACATGGAAGATCTTAATCTAATTTTTATGGTGTGACAGAGATCGTCATTTGTAACAGAATATTGGCAACCGTTTGGAAACTAAACGTCATATCATAACAATATTGTGTACTTCTAATTTTAATGCTGTGTGCTACTTTAATACATCATAAAACAAATATTGAATTCTGTGATCGTTTAATATCTGTATACATTTCTTGGGGATGTATTCACCTCGCCCTTCTGGCTGCGGTGAATACCCCTTCAGAAATATATGCAGATATTTAACTCCACAGAATTCAAAATTATTGCCCGCAGAAATGACGTTATTAGTATTATTACCACCGTTTATGACCAGGGCTGAAATAGCAAGAAAATCTTTCGCACTGAACGATATCTAATTTCCCGGGGAAAATTGACGGTCGTTATTGCATTATTGGCCGGTATTATGGCCCGCCACTATGACGACACATCTGCTCAGGTCGATACAGTAAAATAAATGTCTTCTAAACTAGCACTTATACCCGGCCCTAGGACAGGCCCGATAAGGTGGTAATAATATATTGAACAATGTATCAAAATGTCTCTCATGCCAATGAATCAATTTTCCAGATGCGGGACCAAGCGTGGAAATTGACTGTAATTGTTGTGGCTGTCCTTGTTGCATTTGTTTTACTGACAGTAACCATGAGAGACGAGCGTCACAACAAGGTGGCAGTTCCTACATTTGTGCAACAAACTCCAGCAGGTCATCAGAATCTGAAGTCGTTAAGAGATATCTATTTGAAAACTTTGAAAGTGACATTGACAGGATATGCCTTTAAATCAAAATCTATTAAAGTGGGTGCTGGTGAGATTGCAATCGGGAACCAAGCAATGAATGATGACGCACGAAAGCGAGGTGCTGATTGGCCAAGCGTTGGGTAAGCATATATCTTGGTTCATATTCAGTTGAGCTTATCGGGGGTTGTCTATTTTATGTCCCCACCATATAGTCTAGTATCGTGTCATACTACTGTCTAGCCTAGTATTGTCAGTCTAAGCGCGTCTGTCTGTCTATCCATCCATCCATCCATCCGTCTGTCCGTCCGATATTTTCTCCAAAATTGCTCTGGCTATTGTTTTTAGTTTTGATAGTTATTTTGACTCTCAATAAAAGGTTAGATATGCATCAAAACTCACAAAATTGTCACAAAATGTAGCTTAATTTAGGTCAAATTTGTAAATATGTAGCAGTTTAGAAACCAATGTCAGATTGTAGCGAAGACATATTAGGGATGTTGATGGTATTCGTAATCTGAAAGTGAGCTTTACTGGGAAAGTGAAAGTTAGATTTCAGGGATCATGTCATAAGGGTTTAGAAAAGACAATTTATTTCAAAATTTATTTCAGATCATACCCAAAAAAGTTTAGGCCAAAAAGGCCCCAATATGTGGGCCTTTTGGGCATTTCCCCAAAGAACTCAGTTGTTTTATTAGTATAAATTATATCAATGACGATATCTACTCATTAGGAAGTATAAAAGTTCTGAAATATGGAGAAAACCCCTACTTTTACGTAAAAAAATATAGCGGCTAAACAGAAAAATTGGGAGTAGGCGTAGTTATGTAGAGCAAGTGATTGGTAACATTAAGGTTTTCAAGGTTATAGGTAAACTTTTTCGCCACCCACTACAACATCTGGCAAAGCTCAAAGAATTGTGTGCCGGTCTGAGTATAAGGAGGGTTAATCTCTTTGAGACTATTTAAACTGGTCAATCAACTGTTCTATTAATAAAATCCATGACAAGAGAATTTACTTTGTGTCATATTTCTATTTAAATGTGACCCACTGTAAATAACTAATAAAAGGATCTTGAAATGTTTGTTTTGGTTAAATTGTGTTCAGTTGATATGTTCGTATGTTGCTATTCTCTAAAGAGTTCACATTTGTGTTTTTTAGCTTTTAAACAATTGATTTATCAATTATACGTATAATAAGGTTTTAATGCTATTGAACTAATGATATGACCCCTGAAATCGGACTTTCACTTTCCTTTTAAAGCTCACTTTCGGGTTCCGAATAGCTTCAAAGTAGGGATATTGAAGCTATTCGAAATTCTGAAATGATTTTATTGTCTAAATCTTTATGACATGATCCCTGAAATCTGACTTTCACTTTCCCTGTAAAGCTCACTTTCAGATTACGAATAGCTTCAAGTTCCCTATTACCCTGAACAAAAATATTTATATTTAAGTGTCATAAATTGTTTCTTGTTAAAGTATGCATTTCATGAGCAGACTCTTGTTGCATATTTTTCTACAGCACATAGAAGTAGGTGATAAAAATGTGTGTGGGGTCATAGGCGTAGCCATGGGGGGGGGGTGCGATTGCTTTAAAATTGCTTAAAATGCTTTCTATTTGAAGCTTCTAGTTAAATTTTGAAGGAAGTTGCATCAGTTTTTGTAAAATTCAAATCAAATCTTTTTTTGCCTTGCTTATGCGAGCAACGATCGCTCCCCTTGACTGAAAACCGAAAAATGGCGATCGCACCCCCTGGCTACGCCCCTGGGTGTAGTAATATAATATTTCTTAATTATAATATTTGTTTAATTGATACAGGTACACAATGATTGGCACAATTGGTTTGGAGAATGTCCAAGAGCTGTTAGAACATGTAATCCAAGATGGCGTCCCTGGAGATTTCCTGGAGGCGGGAGTTTGGAGGGGTGGGGCTAGTATGTTTGCTAAGGCAATAATGAATTCTTACAACCAACAAAATCGTCAAACTTGGGTTTGCGACTCATTTGAAGGACTACCACCAGCAACTCAGGCAAAGGATAACGATCACTGGTCAAAAATGAAAGCTCTAGCCGTCAGTAAAGAAATTGTAAGAGGACATTTCGACGAATTTTTCTTACTTGATGAAACGGTACATTTTATACAGGGATATTTTGTGTACTCATTACCATGTTTGAGAAAAACACTAACTGAAAGAAATAACAAAATAGCCGTTCTGAGGGCTGATGGAGATATGTATGAAAGTTTGATGGATATCTTATTTAATCTTTATGAGTTTGTTCCTGTCGGAGGGTATATCATTATTGATGATTGGGGAATTCAAGTTGCTAAAAAAGCAGTTCAAGAATTCAGGGCAATGCATGACATTAAGTCAACAATTTTTCCATTCCGGGGTATATCTATGTACTGGAAAGTGGAATCAAAGATTCCTGTAAAGTACAGCTGGTATGAAGAATTCATGAAAACTAGGAAACTTGATGCATCGAAAAAACAATGTTAAAGTCTATCTCAATGAATAAGGAATGAGGATTTTACGATACTTTGCGATAAAAAATGAATGCAGATGAGATTTGTGATGACTGGGTCCATTTCCTTAAAGGTTCCGATAAGCTTCCCGTATAAAAACAATATGGCGGCTCCAGTCAAGTCAACTGGATCAGTCCATTTTTAAGAAATAAGGGGAGTTTTGTACAATCCAGTTAATGGAAATTGTCCTGGAGATAAAGTAATCCGTATATAATGATTCTGAAAACATTATGTTATTGAGATAGTGATTGTTCAAATAATACATGTATAAAATCCAATATAAATCCTTGTATTAGAACTGCTTTGTTTCATTTCGATGATATTTCATATCAAGCTGTGTACTAATACCTTGTGGGGAAAATATGTCAATTTTTCATACACAAACAGAAGGTCCGAAACTTCACCCATAAATGTGAAATTGATGATATTCTGTGAAGAATTGAGATTAAATATGGATGGATGGGTGGGTTGTGCCAGGTGCCTGATTGTGCTAAAACGCAATATGAATATTCCTAACCAGTAACAACTTTTGTACAGGAAGTAAAAAATTCAGCCCCCCCTCCCACCCTTTTGTCATATTATACATAAATGTGTAGTTGCATCAGTAGTTCCACAAGTTAATTGATGTTTTCTGCTTTATAAATAGGGATCATACTGTGTTGACATAATGACATGTGTTGTGAGTTTTATTTGTTAAATATGTCTGTGTTTAAGGAAATAAAGTTATGATCTCTTAGACCCAAACACTGGTGTTAATAGTTATTATAGGAAGAAAGGATTTAAAGGATCCGTTACCTAATGTACCTGAAGGTGCCCCCAAAGGTTTTTGAAAATAATATGAAAATAGTTACTTTTATCAATTATGAAGTTGAACACATCAAAACTGAAATTAGGTCATTTGGATTAAAACTAAGGTCATTCAGTGCATTTAAGTTTGACTACGCAAATCATTCTAAATATCATTTTAAGGGTATGTTAGTCTTCATTCATGATCATTTTAACTATGTTGACCATTCTTCAATCGATATATCAGAACATCATTAAGGTAGAACACGAAGAGCAACATATTGAAAACACATATCATAAAAAAAACGAAAACTTAATATATCTTTTGAAAAAATGAACCTTAATAAATGTGTTCTCAACAATAGTACCATGATCACCTCAGTTGTTTAACAGTAGGCATTCAACCTAGAGGGTATATTAATATATCATTAAGCTGGGACACAAAGGCCAACATACTGAAAACACAAACCATAAAATAACCCCTAAAAATAATCTATCATTTGATAAAACAAACCTTGTTAAATGTGTTCTGAACAATAGTACCATGATCACCCTTTTTGTATATACTGTAGCTTTAACCTAGGTATTCAACCTAGATACTATGTCAAAACATCATTAAAGATAAGGTAGAATACAAAGAGCAACAGTTGAAAATACAAAGCCTAAATTCAAGCTGAATCTCGTTGCGACTTTCCATTGCATTATACATGTACTTTCATTGTCAAAGAAATTGAAAGAATAATAGATGACATAATAGTCTTAGTTTATTTCACATGAACACTTAACAAGCAATATTCATTTGAACTAATGACTAGCGGAAACATATTTTTTCGATTATCAGGCTCATTGCTTACATATCACATGTTCTAATAGTATACCCCTTGAACAGATTTCTGAAAAACATTATTTTAAGTTACCTGTGATTAATTGCTTTATTGCAAATGACACGTTTTCTTTGTTTCTTGTTATCATTGAAAATTGAATACAAATCTGTTTCGAGGTTTGAACATGGTGCTCAGAATTATCTATGGGAACCCGGGTTGGATGTCTCTGTGGCTTGATACATTGACACAATAGTTATTGTAAATGACAGAGTTTGTTGGAAGGTTCATAATGGCAATTTCAATATGGCCTCCCTTTTGAAACTAAAATTTTTGCTATACTTTCATATTGTGTATCTTCCACACTTACGACCCTCTCTTATTTTATGTTTGAATTATAAAATAGTGTCAATACTAAACAATAAAGGTAAATTCAGAGGGGGTCTGGTTTGTGGAAGTACCTCAATCTGTCAATGAATGGAGAAGGTCATTCACTGTTTACAACAAAAACACAATAGAGTGTCTTTCAATACAATAGGATAACTAACTATTTATGCATGAATGGTACATGAAATGAAGCTTAGTAGATTAGGACACATTGTAGTTCTTATATTGAAAAGTGAAATTAAGTCTATCTACAAAACTCAAGATTTTAATCAAGGTTCTGTGAAAATATGTCAAAATTACTCATTTGAAGAGTCAACATGACATGTGTTAAGAATCACTGTAAAAAACACCTTTTTACCATTTTTTCACACTATTTTTGTAATTTGTTGAAAATATACTTAATAAAGATTCAAATTGCATAAAAATAATTCTGGAATTCCATTTTACCCTTTTCAATAATTTTCTAAGTTCTTATAGGTACACTAATAGGTACGGATCCTTTGTCAAAATAAAAATCTCCCGTTTATAAATGTGTGACGGCCCATAATATACTAATGTTTGGCACACTGTACGCCGTCTTAACTTATCGTGTTTTGTGGGACGATATCACGAGATGTGTGGTTAAAATAACAAATGAGTTGTTTTACATGTTAGTACAAGCTAATGAGAGATTTTGAGAATGGTTTTTAGGTACGCTGTTCATATCTGGACTATGCATGCCCTACGACGATAAGCGTCACTCCACACAAAATCAGGATCAGTCGTGGGTTCAATTCCCGCCGAATGACTTTTACATTAGCCATTGGCATAGGAGTCGATCGTGTATCAAATTCAACAAGCAAAATGAACCAAGGACTCCTTTTATAACAAAATGATTATCTAATCAAATTTTGAGATTTTTGATTTACCCAATATAATGTGGGTGTTAGAGATACACAAAGGGATTAGACCTCAATATTTAGCAATATTTTATACATCATACTATGTATAACATCTGTATCATCACTGGTACTGCACTCGATTACGCTGTTTTTAGAAACGGATCCGTTTCAGTGACAAGAAGGCTAAGGTTCCATTAAGAAAGTTCGGGAAGATTTTTCCTTTTCTTTGATTTTTAAGATCTGCACTTTTAACATGTTCTGTTTTCGTAATAATATAGTGAGATAGTGAGGTATTAAATCGATCTAATTGTTCTCAAACGTGTATATTTTCTTAAAACATACTGGCACACGTTTGTGATGAATAACCCAGATGCTAGTAACGTCATTATAAATTCAAAATTCAGTCAAAGTAATATCATATTTGAAATCTACATGTAAAATTACATCTAAAAATGTGGTTTTAAAAAGTGTTTATCAACTTTGAAAAATTAATTTTCTTTGAAAATGTGACTTCTAGCTCGGGGAGATTACCCATAGACCCCATGCTATAAAATGACAAAAAATGAAATACAGGGTGACCGGAAAAAAAGGAGACCATTGAAATAGGCAATATCTCCTAAAATAGACTAGTGACATCAATGAAATTTTGCATACATCAGGACAGTTCTATGGAAATTTGTTCCTGAAAGTGTCAATACAAGCAGTCAACTGGTTCAGGAGCTATGATCATTTACATAACAATACAATCCACCGCCCCGACTGCTGCAAAAGGAATTGTGAAACTCCGTGGAGTAAAAGATGTACGGGGATCGTTTGTATATGTGAATAACCTGAGGATGGAACCTGATGTATCTGATGTCTCATTACGCGATGCAGTCGTGCAGCACGCTCGTAACTCTGGGGTGCGTGTAATGCGTGCTGAGATTGTGAAGAATAAATTCTGCGACGACAAAGTGGGATGCAAACTTTGCGTTCCCGAGACTGATGTACATGTTTTACTATCAGAAAAATTTTGGCCCGACCCATCAATAGTCTGCAGGCGCTGGGAACGACGGGCACCTAGAGCAGCCATGCGACGAGAAAAACCGATTCCAGTTATAACTGGATACCGACGACAGGCTACCCATGCCGATGATCAGTCCGACTATGACTGTGGAATCGACAACCTAGACAGGATGAATGACGCCTACAAGTCACAGATTGATTGGTATGAATATGATAATAATGGCCTATAATAAAACAATGATAAATTCTTACACTTTCCTATTACTTGTTGTGACACTACACATTTGCACATCAGCCCCGAGCGCAGAATTTCACTCCGTGTTATCATTAACAATGTCACCTCATGAGAACAAATTACGATTTGGGCAATGGAACTGTAGAGGTCTTGGGGCCTCTAACCGCTATATATTGGACATTTTGGCGAAATGTGATTTTTTCGCACTAAGCGAACATAAACTCTATGAATGTAATCTCCACAAGTTAGATGATTTGTCAAATGATTTTGTATGTTTGGCTAAAAGCAGTAGTATTTTGGATCCTATGCAATGTGGGACTGTTTGGGGCAGTGGCGGTACCGCCATTTTTTGGCGAAGATCCTTAGACCATATGGTCGTGCCTATGCTAGAGCTGTGCTCGGATAGGATTTTATGTGTTAAATTAGTGTTTGATGATTCTGCATTATTTATATTTTCTGTGTATCTGCCACAGCAAAATTGTCATCATACCACTTTTACTGAAACTTTGGATATTTTGAATGATTTTGTTGAGCGTATATCTAATGATGGTAATGTTGTGATATTTGGCGATGTGAATGCAAATTTAGGTACTTTACAGGGATCACATGGTGTAAGGGATACACAGACGCAGAGTGGCATAGAATTGCACAATTTTTGCCTGAGTAATGAGCTATGGGCAGTTGATACAAACAGAGCTACTTTGGGTCCTGTGCATACATTTGAAATGTTGAGAAATGGTAATTACTATAGGTCATATATTGATCATATTATTGTGTCCCTTCCTCTATGCGGTAATGTTTCCGAATGTGTTATATTAGACAATGAGCCTGGCAACACGTCAGACCATCTCCCCATAAT